GGGGAGTCACATACAGGCCAGACCAGGTAAGGATGGAAGTTTCCCTCCAGTGAGTCAAATGGGTCTTTTTGCTGACAATGGATTCATAGTCATCATTGAACTCTTAATTCCAGATTTTTATTGAATTCAGATTCCACCAGCAGGATTTGAACCTGGGTCCCCAGAACATTACCCAGGTTTCTGGTATAATAGTCCAGCAATAATACCACTAGACCATCACCTCCCCACCACAATTGTCATCACTGAGACTTGCTTTCTATTCCCTATTAATTAATTGAATTCAAAGTCTACCCAGCTGGCGTGGGTGGGATTTGAACCCATGTCCTCATGGTGTTAATCTGAGCCTCTCAGCGACTAGCTCAGTGACAATACCATCGTCACGCTACAGTGCAGATTCACCAGAACGATCCCAGGACTAACAGCCTTAAATTGTGAGGACAATTTGCAAAGAGTGGACTTGCATTCACTCGGGTATTAAAGATTAAGGGCTGACTATACTTGAAGTTTGGAAAATAATGAATGGGATTGAGGAGTCAGTGGGAGAGAAATTATTTTACCATGACCAGGGAGTATAATGCTGTAATTATGCTGTGGCCATCCAGGGCAGGTGCCAGGAATCATTTCCTCAGGAAAAGGAATCAGAACTCTGGAATCTTTTTCCCAGAAATGTTGGGAGCAAATAAACTGCTCAGATGCGAGATAGTTGGATACTTGTTCGTTAATGGTGTGATGGGAATACAGGACCAATGTGGAGAAGTGTGAGGAGCAACAGACCAGCCTTGATATAATTAAATGGCAGCACAGAGCTTTCAGGGCAGAACATCCACCTCCTGTTCCTCAGTGACAATTACTGAATGATCCAAATCTGCCTCCATTCCTAAGCTCTGATTGGCTCGGGGTATCTCATTCTACCCCATGTCCTTCATTGGCTCCTGGATTCATGGGGATTCCTGATTGGCTATCAGGGATTGTCAATCACCATTGGTGATGTCATTCCCTGGTTGAGTGCAGAATGTCCCAGGAGTATAAATACAAGAGCTTGAGGCAGTGAGGCTTAGTTCTGGAGTTGTGTGGGTAATAGTGAAGATGGTTTCCCCAAGTGTGTTAGAACTACCACAAGGACTGTGAGGATGCTGTTAACAAGCAGATCAACCTGGAACTCTATTCCTCCTATGTTTACCTCTCCATGGTGAGTCTAGTGATCTTGAAGGTCAATTTTTTTCTCCTTGCCTGCCATTCCACTCTGCCCCACCAAGGGTTGACTAGGGGTGGGTAATATGTCAGTGATGTTTATGTCCCATGGGTTTCAGTTAGTTTTTAAAAGTTATATATCTAAAGTCAATAAATTAGCTTTTGAATGGGTTTTTTAACCAACCTCCTATCCACTCAAGTGACTAAGGTTTTTTGGTTGCCTTGTTAACTGATTTTGCTCTGTATTCTGTAACTTGGTTTTATTATGAAGTGGCTCATATTGGAACAAATCCAAGATTCCTTGCATCCTCTTGGGTGACTTTCATAATGCATAAACCTGATCAAAGTTTCTTAGAAATTGATTAAAGATCACTGGGTGACTCACTAGTGAAACCAACTGAGCCCTCTTCTGCCTGTACCTAAATGAGTATATTCCTGTTGTGTTGGCCTTAATACTGGGTTCTTCCATGATGATACTTTTATTGCTGATGTTACATTATTAAAGTCAAGGGATTTTTGTCTCAACTGACCTTAGGTGACTAAGGGCTTTTGGTGACAGGGTCTCTGACTAAATCACTTGGGTTGAGTATAAAATTAAATTCAGGTTCCCTGTTTAAATCAGAGGTTCCCAACATGGGGGTTGGGATTGTCTCATCATTACATCTGGGAAGTAATGGCTACTGAGGTGTTTGGTGCAAGTTGCAACACACTACCTCAGTTCTGAGGGATTGTGCCCACTTTCCCAACACTAAAATGGCAGTCACTGTTGGAGAAGACAATGCAGGAATCAAAATCCAAGCTTATCACAGGTCATCAAAAGATGACCTTCACATTCCTAAATTATGATCTCTAGTTCTGAACTCTACCCCTCAATCTGTTCCTCCCTTGTCTAGGCCATTTTTACACTTATTGAAGCTGAAAATAAGCCACACAGGCTCTTGTGGAATTTCTCAATGGATGAGATCTGGAGCTTGCCTGACTCTGCCACTTTCTCCTCTTCTCCCACAGTCCTTTTACTGTGACTGGGATGATGTTGCCCTGTGTCACTTTGCTGAGTTCTTCAAGGAGCAGTCCCATGAGGAATGGGAACATGCTGAGAAACTGATGGCATTCCAGAATAAATGTGGAGGCTGGGTCCTCCTGCAGGACATCAAGGTTGGTCTATATCCTACATTACAACTACCTGAACTAGACATGAATTTGAAGCTTGAATTCTGCTGGGGTAATGGCACACTAGTTCCTAGTCACATTTCAATCTCATTGCATTGCACTTCACTTTTTTCCATGAGTGAATCACAGACCTCTTCCCTCCCTCCAGAAGCCAAAGCAGGATGAGTGGGGCAAAGGTCTGGAGGCAATGCAGAGAGCTCTGCAGATGGAGAAGGATGTGAACCAGAGTCTGCTGGATCTACACAAACTAGCCTCTGGCAACACAGACCCTCATGTGAGTTCTTAGTGAATTTTCATACATATTGAATGTGATGGTAGAATCTGCCCTGCACTCCATATTGGTCAGGGTCGATGTAGAATTGTTTTGTAGCAAATGCTATTGCCTCAGTTATCAATCTGATCCTGATGACTTTTTTGGGTTTATTCAATGTCATGTAAATCATTTGTTTCCATCAAATGGAATTAGCTTGTGACTTGTGTACAAGTCACATTTTTTGCTCTGCCTTCTGGAATACTTGTAGCTGAGAAGGCAATTTTAGTCTGTGGCTGTACTCATCCATAACAACCCAAATACAGAACAATTCAATCATATCTCTGAACTGATTACTCTCTCTTTCCCTCCAGCTGTGTGACTTCCTGGAGAGGCACTACTTGGATGAGCAAGTGAAGATGATCAAGAAGCTGGGAGATCACTTCACCAACCTGAAGAGACTGGGGAGCCCCTGAGAATGGCATGGGAGAGTACCTGTTTGACAGGCTCACCCTGAGCTGAGTGACAGTTTGGAATCACTTCAGCACTCCTCAATGCAAACCAGTCCTGATTTACTTTTTTCTTCACTTGATGGAGAAATAAATATGTTAAACAGACTTATTGCTGTATAGCTCATTACCTGACAATGGGTTAATCAAAGATTGCTAGCTGTATAAATTGAATGTGATCCAGTTACTGACCTCCAATCATGGGCAGGGTTTCCAGGGGCAGCCAATTCTGCAAAAATTTGTTTCTTTTAAACACAGATTAGCATTTCCCAGGTGGCAACACTAGAGCTATTGTATGGGGTTAGATACAGAATGAAATCCCTCTATTCCATTCAAATACAGGAAAGCTGCCTTGACAGTGTTTCCATCAAACACTCCCAGAACAGGGTCACATGCTTGTGTATAGAGTAGTGTCTCCAATCACTGGGAAAGTTAACTTCTCTTATTCACTTAAATTGAAAGTAAAGCACCCTTGATATCATTTCCCTATCACACCCTTCCAGTACAGATATAGCGCACAGTCAAAGTAACCTCTCTCTATGCTCTCATCAAGTAGTCCCATGGTCTTAAATTCCTTGTCAGAGGTTGGCTACGTTTCTGGGAAGGTAGACAAATGAAGTGTTGCTTGCAACGTGAATTTGAACACTGGATGTTTGGCTTTAATCATACAGGGCATTGGTGACTCCAGCTAGAGAATGGAGTTCATCTCCTTTATTGAAAGAAGGCAAATGCTACAAAAGATGTTCAGAAAAGTTCCACTAGACTAATGTGGAATTGGCTGATGTTTGATGACCAGGTGAGGCTAGATTGTAATTACCAATTATGGGAGAGTAAAAGGGACTTGATTTAAGGCTCTTGTCAGGTAGGGGGGAGGATGTTCCCTTTTGAGGGTAAAACTAGGGCAAGGTGTCACCCATTTAAGACCAAACCTTTTTTAGCAAATTGAGGAATTGGAAGTCTCCAATGACTTTGAGCATTTTTGAGGTAGATTCTTCAGAAGTGAAAGGTTGACAGGAATAGGTGGGAAGTGGGGTTGAGATCATTGTCATATTTTTTGTTCCTGTAAATTTAAAACAATCACTCTAATTCTACTAGATGATTGAAAGTGTTTCTTGCAGTTCTCCATGTGCCTGGGGGGCTGATATGCTCTTGCTCAGGAATTAAATACAGCCCCTGGATGTAAACTCAACAATTATTTCCTACCTCAGTGTTTTCCTGACTCTTTCCCCATCATTACCCTTGTTTTGAGGCTTAAATTGTCAGTGAGAGCAGGAGTACACCTGTTACAACACCAACTCCACTATGGCCATTGCTGCCTCTGAACTTGCAATTCCCTCAATTTCAGCTCGTGTTCCCCCTTGGGGTCTCTACCTCTGCTCTGGCAAGCCTTCTCTTGGTTAGTTACAAATAGTATTGTAGTTCTAACCACATTAGATATGGTCTTGTTTCAGTGCTCAAAGAGCTGAACTGGTTACGTTCCAACTCCTACTGTTCACAAGATTGGGAAAGGAGGTTTTGTTTTCACCTGTTTGTGACCGAGCATTGACCACTTTTAAGATGACTCTCATGAGAGCTGCCAAATGTTGGTAACTACTGCCTGCACCCACACTGTCCAAGGGCCATACAAAGTGTTGGATGAATAAAAGCAGAAAGGCACAGGTGACTTCCCAAGACTCTCCAACTTTCAAATGTTAAATCTTGTCTCACAAATACCTCTCAAAATAAACTCAACATTCTATTAATCCAATGATGTGCAGGCTAGGTGAATTGGCTATGCTAAACTGCCCAGTGTTCAGGGATGTGTCGATTTAGGTGTGTTAGTCATGGGGAAATGCAGGGTTATAGGGAAAGGGTAGAGGGATGAGTCTGGGTGGGATGCTCTTCAGAGAGTCAGTGTGAACTTGTTGGGCCAACAGGCCTGTTTTCACACTGTAGGGATTCTATGACTCTATAATTTGCCAAAGCAACAGCACATTAGACTGGGTGATGTTTGTCATTAGCAAGAAAAAAAGTCCACTCAGAACTTGATGGCGATTGGGGGCAGTAGAATTCTGGTTGAGGCATCTCATCGATGAACTTTCCATTTCACCAACTTGTTTGATTCACAGATTGACTACAAACTATCTAGTGTAGGTCAATATCCATCGATTGGTGTGATCAATGTCAGTATCACTGCATCGATTGGTGTGATCAATGTCAGTATCACTGACCTCTTCTGGACCTGATGAGTGATGTATCAATTCATCAAGAGATGGACAAACACAGATGCAATTGTGCTCAATGTTGTCTCCAGGGTTGAATTTCCCAAAATATATTGGGAAACTCTGCTTTTGAGAATTCTATCAGCTTCAACTTGAGGAAAGTCACAGCAACTAAATTCCATTGCAGACAAGAGTCCATAACATAACTGTAAGAAAGTGAAGCATGTAGAGGAAACCTTCAGGAATGGTTTGGAATTGATAAGGGTGTAGGAGATAGAGGAGAGCTAATGGCTATCTACTTTGAATAGCAAAGCTATGGCAATCTTTCCCCAGGAACCTGTACATGGGCCTGGGGGTCACGTTTAGAAATGACCTTGGTAAAGGAATAGAGAGATGTGCATATAGGTTTCCTTCACTTCCCACTTAAAGAATAGCTTAAATCTGGACATCGCTCTCTCAAAACATTAATTGAACATTGACTCAATTGAATATTTTAGACTGAGATTGGTGACCATTTGTTAAGTAAAGGGTGTAAAGTGGATACAGAAGGAAGATAGGTTATACAGAGTTTAACTGCAAGCCAACCAAGATCCAATTGAATGGTGAAATAGGCTTGAGGGTTTGAATAGTCTCCTTCTGGTTGCATGGTCCAAATTATCTGAATCTATTTGTATACCACTGTTCTACTTGGCTCTGGCTATTACACACCACTCCCTATCTTAAATTAGTGCCTGGATTGATGGGAGATTCCTGATTGATGATCCCTGATAGCCAATCATCATTGGTGACATCATTCCCTGGTTGAGTGCAGGATGTTCCCAGGAGTATAAATACAAGAGCTTGTGGGAAAGAGGCTCTATTCTAGAGTTGTCTAGGTGATAGTGAGCAGGAATAGGGAAAATGGCCTCCCAAGTGTGTCAGAACTACCACAAGGACTGTGAGGATGCTGTTAACAAGCAAATCAATCTGGAGCTCTATTCCTCCTATGCTTACCTATCCATGGTGAGATTCATTAGTTTTAAGCTTTAATTTAAAAGGAAGATTACTTTCTCTTTCCTTTTTATTCTATGCAGGTACTGTCTTCATACCAATAATTTAGTTGAGGATGCATTTTTGTGGCCTTCCTGAGGCCAAATAGTGAAAATGTTTGATAATAGTCAGCCCCCACTTCCCCCCTACTCCCTCTTTTCCACCCCCCCCCCCCCCCCCCCCAACCCCAACCTACTCTGTAATTGTATGTTCTCAAATGTTAATACCTGAAGCTTGGTTTTTATGATGTTTCTAATATCCCATTTACCTTTAAATATGTAAAACTGGCCAACACTTAACTTTAATGGAAAATTAATAAGATGGCTGTTTTAGTGGCAAACTTGTTGGCATATGAGTCTTCACTCACTTTATTTCTATGGCAATAAAAAAACTTGTGTGCTGAAACTTCTTGCTAGCATCCCTTGTATGATGTGGTCATTCCAAGTTAGCTATTTAGGAGATTTTTTTTTCACCCACCCTCTTTTCTCTTTTCCTAGACCTGAGAAGGAAAAGAAAATTAACTGGAGTTTCCAAAGAAATAGATGCTGAATGGATTGGTTAATACAAATATCATGGAGTCTTCTATTTCTACCACTTACTTCCCTGCTGAGCTGTTGTAGGAAGGGGCTTTTGTTGTGCTTGAGATAACCTTCATTAGATGAATGATTCTTCAATCAATCTTAAAAGCCTGGATACTTAAAAAGCATAGTGAGCTGCCAATTTTGATTTCTCTCTGCATCTGTTCTGATTTCCTCTTTAATGTTTGTTTGCACTTCAGATGTAAAGCCTCTTCCTCTTCAATTTCCCAACTCCATGCCTTATTTCATGTACACTGCAGCCTCTACCTGAAACTTGACCCTTCTTGCTTCCATTTGTAAATTCACGAAACTCTGTCATGAAGGTTTCATAATGTAAAATATCTTTGGGTTCTACAAAATTTGAAAACTGATTCAATGCAAGTGTATTGGAATAATGCCTCTGACTACTGAAAGGGGATTAGTCCCATTGTTTTCCCTGTTTTTTTTAATCTGTCTAGGAGTATTAGTATTTCACTTTTCAGTTCCATTTCTGTAAACCCTGTATCCTGACATTAAATGTCACAGGAAATTCTGTGGACAGAAGCAGGAAACTGCAAAAGTTGCTGAAATTGGATCTCGCTTGCAGCACAGAATGAGGCTATTCAGCTCATTTCACTCACTTCAGGAAGCATTACCTAGCTCCATCTTTCTTTTCCCTACCCAACCCTTGCACAGAACTTCATGATTTTTGATCACGATCTGATGCCCTTCTGAATGTGCCTCAAACATGCAGGAAGTGTATTCCATACCCTAGCTGCTGCAGAAAAGGATTTCTCACTTGCCCCTTGTTCCTTTGGGCATTTTATTTTAAATCTATGCCCACTTGAGTTTCTCCCTATCCAGCCTGCTTACTATTGTCTTGAAAGCCTCCATCTGATCTCTCCAAGAAGAACCATCCCAATTTCTTCAACGTATAACTGGGCAATACTATATTGAAATAGAATTTCCATAGGCCTAATGAATTGGCTTCAGGATATTGCTGTGAATTATTAGAACACCATTCCTGCTTTCTTGTCCTGTGGGGTGTTCATACAAATCTGAGGAACTGTCCTCTAGTAAGCATTTTTTCCAATAACTGAGGCATTAAAATACATGAACCTGGCCAACTTGAAAGAAATCCAATTTTCATGTTGGATCTGATCAGTTTTATCACTTCTAACTGAATAGTATGCTGGCAGGCCTGGCCTGTTGATCTATGATCAACAATCAGTGTTGAATGTGAAAGATTTGATCTTAGCCATTTTTCTGCTTTTATCTAAGCCAGCATTTGTCTGACTGTTTCATACAGCACAGAAACAGACCCTTCAGCCCAAATTGTTCACACCAGCCTGGTTTCTCAATCTGAACTGGTCCCATGTACCTCTAAACCTTTCATATCCATGTATTTGTCCAAATGTCTTCTAAATGTTGTGGAGGATGATCCAATAACAGCTTCGTCTGGCAGTTCATTCCGTACACCCACCAACCTGTGAAAGTGATGGTGTGCCCCCTGCCCCCAGGTCCCACTTTAAATCTTTTCTCCTCACTCCTTAAACCTATGCCCTCTAGTTTTGGACTCCCCTATATGGGAAGGGAAGACCTCCAACTGTTTGTATCTATGCCCTTCATGATTTTGCCAACCACCTGCCTCCAGCACTTTTTTTAAAAAAAGGTGGGGATGCACCTCATTAAAACTAAAATGTTCCCATTCAGGTAACATCCTTGTAAATCTTTAACCAATTGACATGAACTCTCCAATATTGGCACCATTTCATCTTCTAGTTGAATCGTGTACCTTGCTTACGTACCTCATCAGAATTGCCAACATTACAAAGAACCAATAATAACAATTTCTTGGCTAAAATGTGAGCTGCTTAATTGGAAGCACAATATTTGACAGTAGGTAACTTAACCACTGGTTTATCTTCCAATGACCCATAGATGATGCCTGACTTCTCTCTTTCCACTACCTCTGTTTGCAGTCCTTTTACTTTGACCGGGATGATGTTGCCCTGCGTCACTTTGCTGAGTTCTTCAAGGAGCAGTCTCACGAGGAACGGGAACACGCTGAGAAACTGATGGCATTCCAGAATAAACGTGGAGGCCGAGTCCTCCTGCAGGACATCAAGGTTAGACTGACAACTGCTTCTGAAAGATTTTCACTATCTAAAGGCTAGCTTGTTTTGGCCTAATGGGACATCCCTCTTTCTACATGAGGATAATGACTGCTACATGGATGGAATTAGTGGCTTAGAATTTCTAACTAACCTTCAGATGTTGCTCACTTCTGGTTCAGAAGCAGGGATACTACCAACAGAAACCCTGATTTCTGACTGAAAAGTACAATGAAATTAGTAGCAGTCATTGTGTAATTAGATAAACTGGAAGGCAGTTGTCCTAAACAATTGGTGGCAATGGCAAACAGTTTTGACTTTTTTTCTTTCTACCCCCCTCCCAAATTGCAGGGTTAAGTGGAACAAACGATGGTGGGTTTAACTTAATCCATTGGCTATCTTTAATGTTTGCAGTAGATGTATTTTTGGCTCAGGTACTAGGATGTTACTACATTAGCACTCTATTTGTATTTGGAACATTTTCTTTTGAATTTCCTGCCTTAAGGCAGATGATATTTTTGAATCTGAGAACTTACCACTAGCAAGTTGTCTTGCTCAACAGACTAACTGGGGGTCTTCAAGGATTGACTTTTCATCCCACTAACAATGCCCAACATAGCACATCCTTGTTAACCAGCTTGATGTGATCACTTGCTGATGGGATGTACCTTTTTTTATTTTCAATTCCTCCTCACACCCAAGAAGCCAGAGCAGGATGAGTGGGGCAATGGTCTGGGGGCAATGCAGAGAGCTCTGCAGATGGAGAAGGATGTGAACCAGAGTCTGCTGGATCTGCACAAACTTGCCTCTGGCAACGCGGACCCTCATGTGAGTTTTTTTTAATCTTTCTCTTTGAAAATCTTTCTTGACCATGACGAAAAGAACTAGACAACACTGAATCTTTGCAGTAGGACCATTTTAATCTAAATCTGAATACAAATTGACCGTATTCCTCAGACACTAAATGTTAGCCTGAATGAAATTGCCTCCATTTTGAAGAATGGAGGATATCTGAAATTTCTACACTGCTGCAGCAACATTAGTACCAGTGAACAGCTCCTCTGCTTTAGGGCAATTGAAAGCTTTTAATGAAAATGAAATCTGTTAGGAATATCCAAATTTACCAGGGACTCCAAGCAGTCAAGAGGCACTGGAAGATTCAGATTTAACGAGTGAGTTCTAATTTTCCAATGCTAAAACTGATGCATGACTCTATTGAGCTATTGCTGTATTTATTGGGAACCCTGTTTAAGTTGGCTTTTTCCTTTCTCCAGCTGTGTGACTTCCTGGAGAGGCACTACTTGGATGAGCAAGTGAAGATGATCAAGAAGCTGGGAGATCACATCACCAACCTGAAGAGACTGGGAGCCCCTGAGAATGGCATGGGAGAGTACCTGTTTGACAGGCTCACACTGAACTGAGTGGGAATTGTGGTCATAATTGTAAATGACTTCTTGCTAATTCTCCAGGTTTTTCCATCTGCTGTTTGTAGAAATAAATTGGTTATAGACAACTGATGCTTGTCTAATTCTGAAGTGATTATTTGTGTTGGTGGGGGGGTGGGGTGTAAAAGAAGAACTCAACAGGCCTAGGTAGCACTTGAGAAGAGAAAGCAGAGTTGACACTTGGGGTCCAGTAACCAACCAATCAAGTTATCCAACTGAAACCACTATCCATCACTGCAAAACCGTCTTAAATGTGAGCTGACAATGGCCACAGCTGTTGGAGCACTAAATAAACAGGAGCAAAGGGATGTTTGTTCCCTTCTTTCAAACGAATACTAATACAGACCATTCAATCATTTGAGTTTACCCCATCTCATTGGATCAGCCATGATTTGATTTTCAACCTTAATCTGCAATTCCTGCCTTCAAGACTTTGTTTAACAAATCTATCCACTTCTGCCTTAGTAGTCAATAAGTCTGATTCCAGTTCTTTAACCGTCAGGATTTCCCACCAGCTAGTTCAACTAACACGCTGATCTCTAGCTTCCACTGGAAGATATGTACTCAATATCAATTCTGCCCAGTCCTTTTCAGGCTTGCATACTTAAGTGGCCTCTCATTTTGTATCTGGTAATTACAACTGCAATCTGTCCTAAAATAGCCTGCCCCCTTTCTCAGGTGTTAGATGAGAAGCTTCTGCCATTGCACAAACATCTTGTTATCCACAAATGTGACTAGTACTGGACCCACTACACCAGGTCTGGTCTTTTCAGTCCCCAGTTTAACTGAAACCTAATGTCCTGTGGTAAATGGTAATATCCAATTAGCTCAAGTTCACAACCAATCCCTGTATCTGTATGCTCATATCCTTATTCATGTAGAACACACATCCTCTGCATCTCCAAACACTGCCTCATCACTTAGATACAATTTTATTTTCATGCCAAAATGGGCAACCTCCTTTTCCTGCATTATGCTTCATTTACAACAGCTTTGCCAACTCTAACCTTTGCATAGAAGCGAGGTCTTGCAGTTTGATAAAACAAACAAGGGCAGGGGACTGGTGTCAAGCAGAAACCAAGGGGTTCAGGCACATAGCTCCTTGAAAGAGATGTCACATGTAAATAGGGTGATTGGTAAAGGAGTTCAAGGGTCACAGAAGGCAGGACCATCAACTATGACTGAATGGTGGTGCAGGCTCAATGGGCCAAAAGGCCTAATTCTGCTCCTACATCTTATGTTTGTGATTTTATAGAGTATCACTCCTACTACCTCAATCCACAAATCTACCCATGTCCATAGTCTGATCACAGACATTGAGTGACACTTGGGTCAAAATCCTTCCAAACCTCTCTATATTCCAAATCTTTGGCTCTGGATTTCAGCTCCCTCCCTAAACTCTACTCTCTCTCGTTCATTGGTGCCTAGATTCAGGGGAGACTTCCGATTGACAATCTGATAGCCAATCATTGTTGGTGACATCATTCCCTGGTTGAGTGCAGCATACCCCCAGGAGTATAAATACAAGAGCTTGTGGTAACATAGCTCAGTTCTAGAGTTGTCCAGGCGACAGTGAGCAGGAATAGTGAAGATGGCCTCCCAAGTGTGTCAGAACTACCACAAGGACTGAGGACGCTGTTAACAAGCAGATCAACCTGGAGCCCTATTCCTCCAATGTTTACTTCTCCATGGTGAGCTTTTACATTTTTGGTATTTGAAAATTAAGCCTCTAATTTCAATAATGTTAATTGGAATGCAAAGCTTGGGTTTAATGATCTGGCTCGTCTAATGCTATAAGCTTCTTCCTGACATGTATACATTGGGTTAAAGTTCACTTTAAAAATACTTTGAGGAGTTGGGATGTCATTTTGTAATTGTACAGGATGTTGGTTAGCCCACTTTTGGAATACTGTTTAATTGTGGCCTCCCTGCTATTGGAAAGATGTTAGAAAAGTGTAAATGTGCAAAACTTATTTCAGGTGTTGCTGAGGTTGGAGGGTTTGAGCTATAGAGAGAGTCTGAATAGCTGGGGCTATCCTCCCTGGAGTATTTGGCAGTGGAGGAGTCACATTGTAGAGGCTAACAAAATAACAAAGGGCATTGATAGGATTAGTAGCCAAGGCCTTTTACCCCAGAGTAGGGGAGTCCAAAACTATTGGTTAAAGGTCAGAGGGGAAAGATTTTAAATGTTACCTGTGGAGTAACTTTCTTGCAGAGGACAATCTCTATGGAATGAGCTGTCAGAGAAGCTAATACAATAACATTTTAAGAAGCATCTGGATGGGTACTTGAATAGGAAAGGCTTAGAGGGATATGTAACTAGATTAATTTAGTTGCTGTCCATCTGTGACTCTATTAATCATCTGGCACAGTGAGTGCCCCTTAGCTTGGGCTGAATGTGTGTTTGGTTCAAATCCCACCTGTCCTGGATGTTTGTAAGCATTGTGAAGCAACTTCCATTAAAAATTAGTACACTGGATTGAGATATTAATTTGATTAGCCTGTTCAGTATCCCTAACTAATCTAATGAGTAGTAATTTCTAATAAACTTGAAGGACTTTTTCTAATGATTTTGACCTTGGATTGAAGTGAGTAAATGTCTGTGGCTAACAAAGATGTTAATGGTAGTCACCACTATTTTTCCTTCCCTAATTCCATGTATTGTGTTCCAGACTTGGAGAGTGACAATATTAAACTGTTAACTGGGAGAATCTGTTGTTCAATTAGCTGTTGCTTACCAGTGGGGTTGGAGTCTGCTAAATAGATGGAACTGCAGATTGAAAGCTGGCCTAGAAATTGAATATAAGCAGCATTAACCATCCCTTCTACCTTTGATGAATGTGCATTTGTAAATCGATGTGATCAATGATGCTATGATCCACCTCTGAAGCAGGTGGGGCTTAAACCTGCACTCCTGGTCCAGAGGTAGGAGCACTATCACTGCACTACAAAAGCCCTTCCCAAGGAGATTGCTTTGACCTACAAGAATGGAGTAATTTTAATCTGCAATACCACCGTGCAGCTTTGCTTTGCCAAATTAAAGCAAACTACTGTGTCAGTTGGAGAGAAACACCACAGGCCCAGCAGCATCAGTGCCATCTCCAAAACTACTAGATCTGTTTCTTTCTAGCACTTCCTGCTTTATTCCCTCAACCTTGCTCTTCAGGGGTTTAATGATCCTAATTCCTCAACGGGAGGAGGATTAGAGTGTCTTAATTTAGGCACTGCTTGACTCGATTTTTCTCTTTCTCTACTTGCAGTTCTCTCACTCTAACAGGGATGATGTTGCCCTGCATCACTTTGCTGAGTTCTTCAAGGAGCAGTCTCACGAGGAGCAGGAACACGCTGAGAAACTGATAAATGTGGAGGCTGAGTCATCCTGCAGGACATCCAAATTAGATTCAGGGTGCCTAAGGAAATACGTGGCAAATCCTCCTCAAATAGGATTGATGGTAGTATTCCTCAATTGAAAGAATTGGAAGCAGCCATCAGTTAGACATGAATCTGGGTACAAAAGGTATTTGGGGTAAAATGTTGTCATCTACTTTTGAGCTATCCTACTTAAACTAGGTTTCTTCCTCAGCCAACCTGACAGGTGAGGTGGTCTACTTCTCAGGAGTAGAAGCAAATGCATATTAAGAGATTACTGGTCCAGAAACTCCTTTTTGGATAAAAAGGTGCCAGATCAAAATGTAAGGCACTTATGGAAAGTAATGTTGGCCATTGTTTAGAATTTTCTAGTTCCTCTTGGAATATTTAAGTCCCAATATGAGGGGAGACAGGATTATCCAATTTACTGATGTGGTTTAATGGTGGGAAACGGGGTTTTTAATGCAGCTATCTAATTACATCTAGAAATTTACAGTATCTCAAAACCCTGTGAAGTTTCCTCAGACTAAGATATTGGGTAATTGTCATGTCTGTCTTTCAGAAACTGAAGGTAATATTTTGGGAATGTGGGTTCAAATCCTATGGCAGCTATCTTTTTTGAAAATTTAAATTGAGATATCAAAGTGGACACAGTGACCGTGCAACTGTTTAACATTAAAATGAAGTGTGGTTCTCTAATATATTTTACAGCTGGATAAATCTAGCATCTTGCCTGGTCTGCAGTGGTTAGCATTTCTGCCTCCGTGCCAAGGTTCTGGGTTCAATTCCACCCATGGCTGACTGCCTGTGGAGTTTGCACACACTCCTGTTATCTATGTGCTTTGTTCCCACAATGCAAAGATGTGCAGTTTGGGTCGACTGGCCATGGGGAAACATGCAGGGTTACAGGGATGGGGTGGCTCTGTGAAGGATGCTTATCAGCAGGTCAGTGCTGTCTTGATGGGCCAATGGCCTGCTTCCACACTGTATGGGTTCATCACTCTATGATAGATGATTCCAGACTTACAGCAACTTAATTTGACTCTCAACTGACCTCCAGAATGGCTGAGCAAACAACTCTGGTCAGGGGCAATTGGGGATGAGTAACAAATACTGGCAGTGGCACCCATGAAAGAATGGAGGCAGGAGAAAAGGATTTGACCTCCTGTTCCTGGGTTCTCCAGTGTCAATTGTGTACAACAGTTGTCAGCATCCCTTGGTGTGATCTTTGGTCTGCTCTGCGGTACTGCTAGTGAGCAACTAGTGGTTGGAACTGCCGTATGCTGTTTTCAGAAGCCAGAGCAGGATGAGCGGGGCAGTGGTCTGGAGGCAATGCAGAGAGCTCTGCAGATGGAGAAGGATGTGAACCAGAGTCTGCTGGATCTGCACAACCTCACCTCTGGCCACACGGACCCTCATGTGAGTTCTTACCTGCTTCACTAATATTTGTCCCTTGTATACATTTAAATACAGATGGAAGGCATTGAGTGGATTATTGGCTTACTGGTATCAATTCTCAGTTGTAAACAAGTGAAAACTATATAAACGTGTAATGACTGGTCTCAAACAAATGAGAAACAGTGGGTATAAAATGGTCTATTAGGCTACTGTGGACAATGGCGAATATTTGCCAATTCTAAACATATCAAGTTCACAAGTGATAGCTGCTTAATTGGGACATGACCTTTCAGGTCAAGAGAAAC